ACGAGAGCTCCGACGAGAGCTCCGACGAGATGGATTCTGAACGCTGTCGCGTGCTTAATTCAGCTTGACTAACGCTGCCATCAGCGGTATCTTCCTGCATGACAGACACGCTGATGTCGGCTTGCGAGACTGCCTCGCTCTCGGGAGCATCCATGGAAACGTCGCCATCGCCGTGCTGATGCGCAGATGTGTCGAGTGAGCTGAGGTCCGCCGTGGATGAAACTTGGCCGTTGTCCGCAAGACTGGGGATGAGGACGTAGGGAGTTGGAAGAAGGGCGCTGTCGATGTGTGTGGGGAACAGCGCGTAGCGCGCACTCGCATCAGAGACCAAAGACACGTCAAAAGTGACGTCGGTCGCCACGCTCTTTGAGACATGCTCGGAATCGGCCGTGACCCCATCCTCTGCATCTTCGAGACGGCTTTCGTCAAAAGAGGCCTCGACCGAGGCGAGCGCGTCGTCGCGGACGAGCGACTCGTCTGCTGCGTCGTTGGAGTCTGTGCTGGCGTCTGCCAAAGCATCGATGTTGCCGTCTGTCGAGGCGTTTCGGACAATGCTCTGCGAGGCATCAGCATTGGCTCTTTGTTCGTCTTGAGACCGCTCGGCAGACTGGACATCGACCGCTTCCTCGACGGAGGTACTCAGGTCAGGAGCTGCGATGCTGACATCTTGCTCGTCGAAGGAGGTTTCTGCCGAACGCGCATTGTCGTCCTCCTCGATGGCGACGCTCAGGTCGGCTGCCATGATGCTGGTGTCCGCATCCTCTGGCCTGGAGGAATCATCTGCATCATCATCAACATGGTCCGTATTGACGTCCGAAAGTTGCTCTGAGCTGGCTGAAGCGTCTGCAGCAAGATCTTGCTCGTGGAGCGCGGTGGTGATGTCGCCGTGCACATCTGCAGCCGATTCGTCGGCAAAGCTGCGCGAGACGTCGCTCATGGACGAGATGTCACCGCGTACGTCGATGCTCTCGTCTTCTCCGTCGGCTTCTTCGTGTGGCAGCATTGCAGAGGTGTTGTGAGCTTGCATTGCGTCGAAGTCGCCTTGATCCGAGTCGGAATCAAATCCAGCATCGTCATGCGCCATAAAGCCAGCGTGGCTTTGTTCGTCTGCATCGCTGAGGGGAGCTCCTGCAGCATGTATGCTGAGATCCGCAGCGATGTGGTTCTCGTCGTCGTCATCGTTAGCGACTTGAATCGAGGTGTCGCCCGCAGGACGTCCAGACATGCGGGAGTAGAGCGATGTGCGGTCGCTCGACGCGGCAGAAGAAGACCTGTCTCGGTGTGACGAAGCAGGTTCGATAGGCGTGGACAGCGCCATGGACGGGTCATCGCGATCCGAAGGCTGGACCAGGCCGCCAGAAGGTGGTGGAGCGCCTCGATGTTTTGCGATGGGAGTCTGATTGTGGTAGAGGATGTATGTGTTGGGGCCGGTCATGAGAAGAGGATCATCACCCGGCGAGTCGGGCAGGGACGGGTGGTCTCGCGTGAGATCGGCGGTGGGCACGGGAGGGGGGATGGAAGAGCGGGCGACCGACTTGCGACGCGATGCTCTGGCTGCCGTGGTCTGGGAGAGACGGCTGAGGTTGGTGAGGACCGAGCCGGAGCTCTTGATGGATTCGTCGGATGCGTCTGCCGACTGATCCGCAAGCGTCGCTGAGGGGGCACGAACCGATCGAGAAGCACGCGAGCTCCTCGAGGAGGAGGCATGGCTGGGTGCTGGCGAGGCACGGATCTGGGGCGTCTTGGAGCGCGACTGGGATCGCGCGCGTAGTGCTGCGGAGGATTGACGTGGACGAGGAGCTACAGGCTCGAGATAGGTGAACTTGATGGGGCTCGGCGGCATGGGCTGATCCCAACCGTTTTCCTTGATCTCGCGCACAAAGGTTGCGTCCGGTCCGCCGCGTCTGAAGCTGATGAGCTGGATCTCGTCCTCCTGCTCGGGCTCTTCGTCGTCCGAGTCTTCGGCGACCTCTCTGAGTGGCTGCATGCGGCTGGGCGTGCGTGTGTTGCGAGCATCGTTGAGGTCATCATCTTCGCTGCCGTCCTGGTTGTTGGAAGTGAGGCGACGGTGGGGAGTACCGCGCTGGCTGCGGAGAGGAGTCGAAGGCGCACGCGATGACCTGGATCCCGGCGTGCGGGCTGGAGAGGGACGGACATTGCGGGAGCGGGTGGGCGACGGCGAGACGGGCTCACGAGGGAGGGAAGCCAGTGCGCGGCTGGACGGCCCTGGCGTGGCAATGAGCGCTTCACCTGAATTGGGTGGCGTCGGAAGACCACCCGGTGCGTTCAAATTGGCCTGTGATGAGGGCTGAAGGGAAGCGGAAGAGGAAGAGCGTGGCTTGATGGATCCAAGTTGCTGGGTCTGCTCGATCGAAAGCGGCTTGTTGAGGGGTGCGATGGCAGAACGCTTGAAGGGGCTCGGGAGGAAGGGGAGGTCTACGAGTCTCGACGAGGCGGGCAGACCGATGGTGGGATCGGGAAGGTTGTAGAGGACGCTGTTGGAGATGAGTGGTGACGATGGGGGCTCGGAAGGCTGCATCGAGACGGAGACATCCAAGGAGTAAGGGAAGGGTGAGGCATTCTCGTCGTTGATGGAGGGCCGGCTGACGCTGCGGCGCGGCCTCCTTGTCGGAGACAGCATCTGGATGGTTCAAGGGATGTGCTGGAAGGCCGGTGGTGTAAGGTGTGATGGTGGAAGAGGACGACGAGGGAAGAGCCAACTCGCGTGTTGATACCAGGAATGATGCGTTCGGGATGAAGTGCGGTAGGAGTGCAGAGTGGACGCGCAGGATTAAGGTTCGGCGCAGGAAAGCAAGCTTATGAGTGCTTTGAGGCAAGATGTGCAGAGAGCGTCCGAGTCCTCCAGAGAGCGGGCGAGTCGATTGCGGACGTGGTGGTGATGTCGTAGGGGATCCGTATGCGGGGGTACTGGAGATGAGCGAAGGAAGAACAGATGACTGCGAGTGGAGAAGGCTGTCGTTGGCGTGATCCGAGCACAGCTCACTTGCTGTTGGGCCATCATCACAGAACGCGCACCTCACCACAGCACAGCACAGCACAGCGCAGCACACTTGCACATATGCAACACCGACTGCATGTCGCCTGCAGCTCCTGCCTCGTTTTTTTGGTGCGCTCCACATCCGCCAAATTCGGGACGCGAGACCCTGATTCAAAGCGCGGGATCGTCACGTGCGGCTGAGCTAGCGGTAAGTGTTAGACCTCGATCGTCAGCGAGCTTCTGATTTTCCTGGTGGATGTGAGATCGAAAGTTTGCTCATTATCTTCCATAAATACAACTGTCACGTGTATACACATGACCTCGGCCGAGCTCCTTCTCGTGGCCAAATCGCGAGCCAAGGCCGGCCAGACCGCGCTGCCTTCGAGCAGAGGCGGCGCACCTTGGCTGGGCGCCTGGTCGGCCGCGGCCCTCGACTGGGCTGCCGCCTCGAAACGCCCGTTGAGAGGCCTCCTGCTGTGCCTCGGAGGGGTGCGCTCAGAGGCTTTGGAATTTCGTGCTCGGCGCCGCGTCCTGGCTGCCACCGAGTGCTGCAGCACGGCCTCAATCGAGAGAGGCAGCCGCAGCCAAGCCAGTGCGCCAGCCTCCGCCGAGCGAAAGCGCGAGCGAGCGAGCCAGGTTGGGTCAAGCCAGCCAGCTGCTCGCCCTCACCACCTTCCTCTTCACCATCAAGACTATCCAAAATGACGAAGAAGAGACGATCCGGCGGGTAAGTGTTCGGCACCACCTCAATCCATCGTAATCGCATTCGCATTCGCATGGCATCGCATCGTCCTCGTCAACCGTTCCATTCCGACTGCAATCACCGTCGCCATTGCCATCAGAAAGCATCAGCATTGCCGACATGGCACTCTTCCGATGAGGATACTACCTGTCTGTCTTCATGTGCAACCCACCGCATCCGGCACAGCATAACAGTCCGCGACTTGTGGTACCCATACTTCCACCCAGCACAGCGACATGATGGTCTCTTGGATTTCCTCAGAGCGTTTGGCCAAACACGATGACAGGCCCAGCGGCATGCAACCGGCACTCCAAGGCGTTCCTGTCGGCTATCTGCGAGCCCTATGGATGCCCGCGCGACAACACGCGGGGTCCGCATCGCTTTGATCGTCTGCACACCTCGACGTGGAGTAGACACACCAAACCTGCATTCTCTCGTCCATTGTTGCGACCATTTGCCAATCGTCTACGAGCATACGGCTAGCGATTCGAAACGTGGCTCTAAAGCTCCCTTTCATCCAGCCCAGGATGCCTGCCGGATGATCGACGGCACACGACAGACCTGCGACGACCTTTTACCAACAGCAGACCTTCTCTTTCATCCTGAATGGCTCGAGCTGGATCGACCTCCGCGCTCCGACGACGATGCGCATGCACCACACCGACACATGCACCGTGCGATTGCGACTGTGATGGCTTCTTCGTACCCATTGGACCTGGTGACAGACCTGCTCACACGCGCCATTCCCTTTGCTTTGATCTACAGCCGCAACAAGTCCGGCCGAGGCCACGTTACGTTTGTGCGATGCTCGAACTGTGCTCGCGCCGTCCCCAAGGACAAGGCGATCAAGCGCTTCACTGTGCGCAACATTGTCGAGGCTGCTGCCATCCGTGATCTGTCGGAGGCGTCGGTGTACCAGGAGTACGCTCTGCCCAAGCTGTACATCAAGGTGGTCTACTGCGTCTCGTGCGCGATCCACGCCCACATTGTGCGTGTGCGCTCGCGCGAGGGTCGCCGCAACCGTCTGCCCCCTCCCCGTGTCCGCTACAACAAGGACGGAAAGAAGATCAACCCCGCCGTCGCCCAGATCCAGGCCCAGCGCGCTTAAGTCTTCCTGAACTCATCCCCAGCTTTCCTCGAGGCGTCAATGCTGATCAGGAGGCTGTAAAATCTCGATGGCGATTTTAGTACTCGCCAGAGAGTCGCACTTGCTCACCGCACACACACACACACCCAAAATATCATCCTTCTCCTAAAA